CCCCTTTTTTCATAATCTACTTAAAAAAAACAGTGCCGGGATTTACCTCAATAGAGCCTATAGACGCACAATCTTTCTCACCCTAAGTCTGCACAGAGCATTTCCATGTTTTACTGGTCTAGAGGTATCTTAAACTATTGTGACTACTGTAGTGTGCAAATAAGCTTATTACGAGATGATTGTAGCCTTAATTACTGATAAACTTAAAGTTGGCAAAAAGAACCAATTTTACGGGTATGTGTTGATTGAAACACATTGTGCATTTTTAAAAGGAACTGGTGTAAGTACCTGACCTTCACTTGGTATCATTTGCTTTCATGTTTTGGGATTTTTCATAAGTGATGATTATGATCTGTGAAATTTCGATGCTCATATGATTTTTAATATTGATACCATCTTTAAACTTTAAGCTTTTAAATGCATTTAAACCGTTGTCTTAGATAAAGCACTGCAAGGTTGCTGCTATTACCTTTTCTAGCCAGAAAATACTTTTCTGTGCACCGCAAGCTTGTTGCACATTTTGATGCGTTCTGTTAACGTGTGTCAATGCACATGTTTTGCATGCGTTCACGGAATGTGAAGGGGGAGTTACTCTGAGATCTCACAGAGGCCACCCTGCTCATCTGCTGATGTACGCTTAGAGAGACCAGGACCTCCCGCATTTGCTTACATACCAGGCCAGCAATAACAGGACTTCAGCACAGGATCTAAACATACTCAGCTAAGCCAGATCTCGGGATGGAAACAAACACGGGAGGACCCGGGCACCAGATCTTGTTAAGCATGCATCAGCAGAGAGGGAGAATGATATCCGTAAAGTCAAGGGAGGGGGGCAGAACAAATAAGCGCACCTTCCCTGAAAGTGCACTTATTCTTTAAATGTACCAATATGTATGCAGTGCAGTGCAGTGCAGGGCCCATCTAAACAATCCTGCCAGGGGGGGCGTGGCCAGGCGCATGGAGCGGTAAGACGTGCTTTAGCTCGTCTCCCGCTCACAGGGCACTGAACACAGGCAGACAGCAGCCATCCGCTCTCCCCTTCGCCGACCATGAGTGACCGGAGGAAGAAGGGGAAGAAGCAGCATAAAACGGGCCCCACGCCGAGGGAGTTGGCCCGTTTTTTCAGCACAGCGGCACCCGCGGCCTCCAAGGCTGCCTCCTCACATGCGACCAAGATGGCGCCGCCGGAGCTCTCCTCGGCACACGCCGATTCTCCTGACAGGGAGCAGGTGAGCCAGCCTCAAGGGGATTGCCTGCCCCACAGCCCTGAAGGTCCCCAGCATCGATCCAGGTGCCTGTCACAGACCTCCCTAAGCTCCCAGGAGGGGTGGGATATGGAGACCTATATTAAGGCCTTACCCACTATGAGGGATATTGAGTCCTGCTTTGCACGCATGGAATCTACTTATAAAAAAGAGATGTCAACCTTAAAGAGGGACTTAAGCTCCAGACTAGATGACATTGAGCAAACCGCTTCTGACATGTGAACGATGTCAACGCTGTGCCAATGAGAGTTTCCCTCCCTCATATTGTATCCCAACACTGTGATTTAATGTTTGAGCCATTATGTGCATTGTCTGAATCTTCTTTTATGAAACTTAATAAAAACTGATTCAACACTAAACAATCCTGCCAATTTATATTCACTCTGGCAGGTCCTTGCAATACATAGTTATTAGTAAACTATGATGGACCTGGTTAATATCCGCAGAGCAAGAGAAGCCAGGCACTTAGTAACAATGTAAAAGCAGGATCAGTGAGGTGCACAGAAGAGGCTTTTCTGGCTAACAATGGTGATAGCATCCACCTTGCAGTATTGGAGGGGAATGAATGCTAAGAAGCAAGGAGGAGTTATGGAGATGAGACTAAGAGGAGTAGTCCAGCAGAGAAGAAGTCTAAAGGTGGCCATACACCTTACAACCATTGTACAACTTTTTTTGTCCAGACATCTCACCCTCGTTCAATTTTTGTTCAACTAGCCCATCATGCACATACCAATGTGCAATTAACGTTCATTAGCACCACTAAGTGGCTGATTTTCATTGATGGTAAGAACAGGTTTTCATTGGAGCATGTGCAGTTTTCATCTTGAGATTTTTGTTGTACAACAAGGCCACTAACCCGTCCCTTTTCGTCCGACTAGCTTGCAGACTGAAAAATACTAATTTTACTTGCAGACTAAAAAATATTAATTTTGTAAGAGAAATTACATGGAGAAAGGTGGATGTAATGGAGAGCTTTAATGATTATTTTTTTAGATTTTAAATAAACTTTTTTTCCCCCATGTGTTATGATAATTGCATAGTTAATGTGATAGTTGAGCCTAGCCCCCAAAATTACAGTATAAAGCAAGAACACCCAAATGGTTATTGTGAAAGAAACACAATATAATGCAATCCCTCTTTACAAAAAAAACAACAAACACTATGCTTTAATATTTGCTATGTTCAGCATTTTACTTTGCGAATCTATACTCTAGTAAACCTATTTTTTTCTTCTTTTGTTTTAGACTTTCAGAAGAAGAACTTGAAAAAAAAGCTTGTACAACCTTGACCGTACTGCTGACACATATTGTTGGTAGATATATAAAACGTAGGAGACTTATACAAGCCAGCATAGAAGAAATGCCATGGAGAGCTCAAATGAATCTAATCCTGGCACTAACTCACTTCAGCTTGTTTAAGAAAAAGCTTAGTCAGCTGTGCAGTGAAGAACTGGTGTGTACCCAAAGCATTAACAGGTAAGGAATAGCACAACACGTGAGCTGCATTACAATGAATGTATTTCATTAGTACGCTTTCACTTTATGAGCAAGAAGCAAACAATTACTGTTAGATCCGCAGGTAATGAAGAGACATGGCAGACCCTAGCCTAAAGTTTACAAACTTAAATATTATCTTGTCTTGTTAGTCCTTCTAATGCAGAAAGGACAAATTGTCCACTGCGTGACCTTTTCTTTTTCTCTTTGTTGCAGTCTGTTAATGGGCATGCAGTCACAAACTTTGTAATTTTGTTATGTTGTAGTGTTTCTTCTTAACACAGCTGCAGAGGCTAAGTCATTAGTCTTTTCACAGCTTTATATGCAGCTTTTGCATTTGTTGGTTACAACTTTATGCCTTGCCTGCTTTTAGAGCCTAAGGCAAACAGCTAAATAGACAGATGAAATACATATAAGGGAGCTGTCAAACCCTGTCTGGCAGGGAAGGAGATCTTTCTTTTCTCTGCTGCAGTTAAGTAACATTCATAGTCTTGCCCTCCCCAAAGCTGTCACTGGACAGTGAAAGGAGAAGCAGGAGACTAATGAGCTAATCTCTCTCCTTCCTCCTCCTATTAGATTAGAACCCCTGTTGAGTTTTACTGCTCCCCAGGGCTTACTTTCTGTCTTAGTGACATTAGTTTTACTACACAAGAAGTGAGGGAAAATTGCGGCAGGGCACAAACAGCAATAAGGAACTGGAAGGGGTTCTAGGCTACTGATGCTTTAATACAGTTAAGCATTTTTATTTCTTTGTGTGTTGCTTTTGGTGACTTTCACCAACTTCCTGTCAGGTGAAACAATTGTCACTAGGACAAGAAGTAATAACAAGCAGTAATAACTCAACAGTGGCTTTAATCCTTCCACACTCTATCCAAAACTACAAAACGTTTTGGCTGGACATATACATAGGCAAAGCAACATATACTCTTTGGAGCCAAAGCAGTATGTACTTAATTTTTACTTGCTCACCCACTACTCCAATCTACAAATCCAATCCACAATTGGCCCATCTGAGAAATATCCAATACTTCTTTGTTTGGGGAAACATGATACTCTGCTTTTCCACAATGCAGAATTTGGCACTTGAATGGTCAATCTCTTAAGTACGGTCACATGGTGACATGGAAAAACCCATGCATAAGTTTCTATTTGTTGAGTATTTCAGGCGGATCAAAAGAGAAAGAACGTGAGTAGAACGTTAAATAGGTTTCATCTGATAGCTTGAGGTGTTCGATAGCCAACGCTCAAACAACACTTTGATGTCACATATTACAAAATATGTACATATTACAAAATATGTTACATATTACAAAAAAACAACACTTTTGTAATCTACACATGTACATGCTGTTATGACATGACATGTCATGAGTAGACATAGACAGGCCTCTAAAATATATGACCAAATGTTGCTAAACAACAGCTAAATGCCCAATGGCATACAGGGAAACTCTTAACAATGGTAGGGCTACATTAATGTGTGGTACATTTAAGGCAGCCCATTCAATAGAACACATGAAGACAGACAAAATAACGATGATGCACTTTCTTTTCCAAAGCACTTGCAACGTATGTGCAACGAAGGTGTGTTGAGATAATGCTTTGGGGTGCCAATAACAGTTAATGGCACTGCAATTCGCTAACACACTTAAAATGCACATTCCCACAATGTACTGTTGAAGTGTGAATCGGTCCTAAGAGTGATAACATGATATTCTGAAGACTATGGGAATTTGTAATTTTAGTTTTTGTCATGACTTCCTGTAAGGCAACAACTCCCCCAGCGACCAGTCAAGCTGCCCCTTCAGTTGTTTTGGGAAAGGGTTATGAGATTTGAGATTAAATATGGGTTTATGAGATTTGCAAATCATTGCATTCTGTTTTTATGTAGATTTTGCACATTCTGTTTAAAATCAAGAACTAAGTTCTGTTGACTTAAAGTAATAGCCAAGTTATTGTAACCTAGAAATATAAGTATATGCGTGTTTGTGGGGAAAGAGCTGGTGCTAATAATTTGTGTATAGCCGTAAAATTGGTTTTAGGGACATTTAAAGTGCAAATAAAGGCTCCTGCATGACAGTCTAAATAATTACCAAATTCTACTTACTATATGATGCACAAGCCTTATAATGTAGATAAAACACATCTCTGACTGAACCAAATCCTCCTTTAATTTGTGTCTCACACACCAGACACTGCAGGTCACAGTGGGAGGGTCTCATTAACAGGCGCAGTGCTATTAATCTAGAAAGCAGTGTTCAGGACTAGGTGTGGCCAGGTGCTGGTTGACTAGCTAAAGGATTGCGAATCAGCAGTGAAAATGCAGATAGCCATGTCCTTTGGATGATTTTTTTTATCCCACTGTCGTGCAAGTAGGTACAGCCTACATGAGAGTGGTATGAGGTATAGTAAAGCGCTGTACATAATATTTTTTGAATGGGAGACCTTAGTTCTACTTTTAATATGTTTGATCAGTTTGGATTTGGCTATAAAGACAGTAAAAACAGTTGGTTGGTATATACTTACATAAGCAAAATAATGACTCATTCTTTTTAACATCACTGGCGCAACAATAGCTAAAGCAATAACTTCCACACTCTTGACCCTAACATACTGTATATTTTTATCTTTTTTCTCCTTGTGTATCAGCATGGTGTAGTTTTCACAGATAGATTTTAGATTTCTTTATACTGTGTGAGACATCGGTTTGTGTTAGAGGTTTTATAAGGAATAAATGGCATGTTGCCTTTACATAATAGACATAATAGAGGCATCTAGCTACAGCCATGCATAATATAGCCTTGTGTTGGCTATCGATTTAAAACTTACTTGTGTTCCGTCTGTGGTGCTAGTGGGGAGATTTCTTCTCATTTACTGTCCTCTTCACATTGTTGTCAAGGCAGAAAGTTGCGGGAAACAAACAAAAGCAAAAAAACACTTTTATAATAGAGTACAGCAGGGGTGCCCATTAGGTCAATCGCAACCAGTCGATCACAAAGTGAACACTGGTAGATCGCGATCGGCTCACTGACCTGTGTCATGTCATCCCGTAGTGCTTGTGCGGCTGAATTCGTCAGGCGCTGCAGGCGGGAAGGAACGGGACACCTCTCCCAGTCTGCACATTCGGCCACATGACCACCGAGGGAGGACAGGACAAGGCACCTGAGAGGAGACCCGGGAAGCTGCGGCATTGCAGGTAAGAAAAGACAGCCAGAAGAGAGCAGAGAGACAGCAGAGAGAGAAGAGACCGCAGAGAGAGAGACGCGAGAGAGAGAAGAAACAGCCAAGAGAGAGGGGCCGGTTCACACCACGAAGTCTGCGTTCCAGGGTGTTTGGCCTCTGGAACGCACAGGAATGCAAACCGGCCGGCTCCCTGCTTTTAGGGGCTGGAGGGGGCGTGGTGGTGCATTGAAGTCAATGGCACCGCAGCCATGCCCCCCACCCGCAGTGCGATTGCCTGCACCTGCAACACAGGCATATTAGTGCCTGTGTTCCGGTCCAGTGTGATCTGGAAAAATAGTGCCTACGTTCTGGGTGCAGGCGATCGCACTGCGGGGGGCGTGGCTGTGGTGCCATTGACTTAAATGCACCGCCATACCTCCACCCACCCCTGAACGCAGGGAGTTGGCCTGGTTGCGTTCCAGAGGCCAAACGCTCTGAAATGTAGACTTTGTGGTGTGAACCGAACCAGAGAGAGACAGCGGAGAGAGAGAGAGGCAGTAGTCCCAGTAGCAATTTTAATGTGCTTGTTTTCTAAATAAAGGTGTTTTTTCGCTGGTGGATCTCATTGAGCTCGTCATTTGAAAAGTAGATCTCCAGACGGAAATTGTGGACAACCATGGAGTACAGTAATGCGGAAACCTTCTCATCACTTTCTCCAGGACTGGAAATGGGGGAGGGGGATCTTGCCAATGGGGACACAGACAGCAAATAAATTGGAGAGAATTGCTAACCCTTCTTCTTTCTATTTTAAAAATATATATAATAGAGCAGGCTAATATATAATATGATATAGATTTAATTGAAGGTGAAAATCTGACCAGGAAATCCAGGAGTAGTGTTAAACTAAAAAGGTAAGTTATTTGGAACTATAACCACAACATCTTTCAGAGTCTAAAATAAAATCCTAACTTAAGTTTACATTTTTCTTGTTATTTAATAAGATTTAATTTTAATTAATACTCATGGGGTAGAGATCAAACTGTTAATGTTCATTTATATGTAAATCTTTTAATCATCTGTATGAAATTAAGAAGACCCTGGCAAAGTGACAAACAGAGCCTTTAGCTCAGTATGCAAATCAGAAACTAGCACTCTCCAATACATTGAGCCTTACAAATGTAACACACATTATTGGTTTTTGTACATAGAATATTGGCACATTATTATTCCCACTAGTACCATTTGACCATTGGCACCCTGGCTACATGCTATAAAGCAGGTGATGATGCAGTGGTGAACAATTCATAATAAATTGAGCACAACCAAGACTCATCACTCATATTATGAAAATGTTCATTTTTTTGTTTTTAATCTTCTCTAATTTCAAAATTGGGAATATGAGCCGAATGTGATGTGTAATGGCTTCAGTCTTAAAAAGCAAAACATTTTACTCTGTCATTTAAGATTTACATTTACAAAGAATGATGCAAATAGTTTTTTTTTTTTTTAGAAAAGTCTTTTCCTGCTTACATCTCCATCTACATACAACAACATGTCAAACAGATATTAGGCATTGATTTTCAGATTAGTCAGAACATAGTCTTTGCTGCTACAGAGCAGATTATTCCAAACATTTTTGCTATGAAGAATGTACCTGAAGGTGTCATAGATGTTTGATTTGCTCTAAAGGGTCACACCTAGTTTAGTGCTTGACACTTTATTACACACATAAGGGTAAAACATCATCATTTTACAGCTGTCCTTTTGACAGTGAATTAATACCATATGATAGATATGTTGGCATGTACTTAAAAACATGC